AGAGAGAGAGCACACACACACAATCAGGAGGGGCAGCAGAGGGAGAGGGAGAAGCAGGCTCCCTGTGGAGCAAGGAGCCCAATGTGGGGCTCGATCCCAGGACCTCAGGATCATGACCTGAGCCAAAGGCAGACGCTTAATGACTGAGCCACCCCGGTGCCCCAATAGTAGTTTATTTCTATAATTTTTTGTGATGTACTGCTTAGTTGCCTTTCTCCCTCCATTAGATTTTCAGTTACCTGGAGGTTGGATCTTTGTTGGTGGTGGTGGTTTGTTTTAAACTACTGTATTCCCAGTGCCTGGTATAATGCCAAGTGTCTAAATGTTCAATAAATGGGGCACCTGGATGGCTCAGGCGGTTGAGCGATTGAGCATCTAACTCTTGATTGCAGCTTAGGTCATGAACATCGGGTCTTGAGATCAAGCTCTGTGCTTGGTGGGGCGTCTGCTTGAAATTCTCTCCCTCTGCCCCTCCCCCCCCAAAGTAAAGAAGTCTTTAAAAAAATAAATGCTTAACAAATATTTTTTTGGACTTTTTTTTAAGGATTTTATTTGTTTGACAGAGACACAGTGAGAGAGGGAACACAAGCATGGGGAGTGGGAGAAGAAGCAGGCCTCCCACTGATCAGGGAGCCAGATGCGGAGCTTGATCCCAGGATTCTGGGATCATGATCTCAGGCAAAGGGAGATGCCCAACGACTGAGCCACCCAGGCACCCCTCTTTTGAGGTTATTTTTTAAGGATTTTATTTATTTATTTGACAGATCACAAGTAGGCAGAGGGGGGCGGGAAGCAGGCCCCCCGCCCAGCAGAGAGCCTGATGTGGTGCTCGATCCCAGGACCCTGAAACCACGACCTGAGCCGAAGGCAGAGGCCTCAACCCACTGAGCCACCCAGGCGCCTGGAGAATTTTTTTTTTAAGGTCATCTCCACACCCAGCGGGGGGTTCAAAATTTAAAACCCCTAGATCAAGAGTCAAATGCTCTACTGACTGACCAGCCAGGTACCCCTCAAAAAATATTTCTTGAAGGAGTATACGACAGTAGCAATGATCAGTTGAGTTTTACTATGTGCTTGACACTGTACTAAATATTTCTTTATTGAAACAAAATATACATAACATGAAGTCTATCATTTAAACCATTTTTTAAAAAGATTTTATTTATTTATTTGACAGAGATCACAAGCAGAGAGGCAGGCAGAGAGAGAGGAGGAAGTAGGCTCCCTGCTGAGCAGAGAGCCTGATGGCGGGGCTCTATCCTAGGACCCTGAGATCATGACCTGAGCCAAAGGCAGAGGCTTTAACCCACTGAGCCACCCAGGAGCCCCTAAACCATTTTTAAGTGTACAATTTAGTGGCATCAAGTAGTTGCACAATGTTGTTTGACTATTACAACTATTTCCAAAACTTTTTCATCACTTGAGACAAATTCGGTCATCATTAAGCAATAATTCCCCACCCCTCCTCTCCGTAGCCTCTATCTATTTGTCTATTCTAGGTACCTCATATATGTGGAATCATATAATACTTATCATTTTGTGTTTGGTTTATTTCACTTAGCATATTTTTTTAAAATTTATTTATTTGACAGAGAGAGATCACAAGTAGGCAGAGAGGCAGGCAGAGAGAGAGGAGGGAAGCAGGCTCCCTGCTGAGCAGAGAGCCCAGTGCGGGCTCGATCCCAAGACCCTGGGATCATGACCTGAGCCGAAGGCAGAGGCTTTAACCCGCTGAGCCACCCAGGCGCCCCATCTTTTCATGTGTTTATTAGCCATTTGTATATCTTTGCAGAAACATGTATTCAAGTCCTTCATCCATTTTTGAATTGGGTTTTTTTTTTTTTCTTAAGTTTTTGAGTTATAGGAGTTCTTTATATACTCTGGGATATTATTCACTTATCAGATATATGACTCACCAATATTTTCTCCTGTTCTGTGGATTGTCTTTTCATTCTCTTAATAGTGTCTTTTGATGCACAAAAATTTTTAATCTTGATGAAGTCCAATTTATCTATTTTTTGCTGTTGTTACATGTGTTTTTGGTACCATAGCAAAGAAATCACTGCCAAATTTGATGTCGTGAAGATTTTCCCATGCTTTCATCCACAGATTTTACAGTTTGTGTCCTTAAGTTTAGGTCTTTGATCCATTTTGTGTTAATTTTTGTATATGATGCGCAAAAGGGGTCCAGCTTTATTCTTTGCATGTGGATACCCATTTTTTTTTCTGCACCATTTGTTGAACAGACTGTCCTGTCTCTATTGGCACCCTTGTCAAAATATCAACTGGCCATATATGTGAGGTTTATTTCTGCATTCTATTCTGTTTTGTTGGTCTGCATGGCTGTCCTTTATGCTGGTACCACACTAACTGTGTTTTATACATTGCATTTAATCCTCACAATAGTATTTTGAATTAGAGGTTCTTACTCTTATTTTATAATTGAATAAACAACCTCAGAAAAGTTAATTACCTGAAGGAATCATAGCTAGTAACTGGGAGACTAAGGATTTAAACCCATCCATTTTCCAAGCATTAGAAATACAATCAGTTCATAGAAAAACATTTCCCTCTGGGGAATTGAGCCCAGACAGTTAAAGGCACTGAAACAGAATAAACTTAAAACTCTGCAGAGTTGGAATCATTAACCCATTTAGCAGACTTAGAGTGAATGTTCTGTGAGACATTGGTGTTAGGGCTATAGATACAATGGGTAAGCTGAGGCATGAATAACTTGAGCAACATGCTGGAGCTCCCTCAATTTGTTACTCAAAACCAAGCTTTATTCCATGATGTCATGGTGCAGCATCAGGGAAGATGGGTCTTGTTATGTATTTCTCGTACTTGTTTAAAACCAGCCTTTAGAAACAAAAGTCTTATCTTTCCTGGGAAATTCTAATAACCTCCCTAGAGAATAACTGCATTTTGTGGTGAGCCTATCATCTAAGAAGACATCTTGGAATTTTAGTTTCTGCAGTTTGTAATTGGCTATAGCAGAATAGTTTGTTTCCCATATATGAAACCGTACCATAATATTGGATGTATTTTTTCCAAACTATACTTTGCCCACATACATGCTTTTCAGAAGCAGTGGCTTAAAGGGTCAGTAAGGTGTAGAGCCTCATTCTGAAGAAAGGGAAAAATACAGGCTTACTGATAGAATGAGAAAATCTGTTCTGTCAGGTCTTACTCATTTATCATTTGTTGAGCCTTTACTTTATTTGATACTCTCCTAGGTCCTGGAGATACAAAGACAATGTGACACAAAATGCCTTAAGGCATCTCCATTCCTTGGGTGAAAAACAGTTTATAGCCAGTTCTAAGGCCTGCAAGATCTGCTGCTGAAAAAACTTCATTTTTTAGTTCAACAAATATGAATTTATTTAATTGTGCCAGGTGCTACTATAGGCATTTAGGATATTTCAGTGACGATGATTCCTCTCTTTAAGGAGGTTACATTCTACCAGAGGGAGTCAAATGATAAGCAATAAAACGTAAACTAGTACTAGTATGGTAGGTGGTGATAAGTACCATGGAAAAAGAAAAAAAGAAACTTGGGACTCCAAAGTGCCAGACAGGCTTTAGAATTGAATGGGGCGATCAAGGAAGGCTTTACTGAGGCCATATTTGAATAAAAATCTGAAGGGGATGGAGGGAACAAATCCTCTATCTGGGTTAAGACCAATCCAGGCAGAAAGCATCAAGTCCCAAGGCCTTGACGTGAAATTATCCTTGGCATGTTCAAGGAACAAAAGGGATTGGGATTTTGGAGCTCAATGAGTGAGGGAAAGAGTGGTAGTAGATGAGATCACAGAGGTAATGGAGTGGGGCATTTTGTAGGGCATTTTACTCAGTGAAATGGAATGCCAAGGGATGGTTTTAAGCAGGGGGATAATAATGACCTTTCCGATGTGTTTACATGATCACTATAATACTTGCCATTCTAGTACTAGATAATTTGCTTATTAGTTTATGTGATGAGACTAAAGGAGGGTAGAGGGGAAGCAAGAGAGAAAGCAGGAGGCTACTAAAATAATCGCAAGCATAAAAATGAGAATAGAGAAGGTGGTGAGAAGCAAATGGGTCTGTATATATTTGAAAGTAGGGCCAATGGAACAGGAGTCCAAGAAGATTCCGAGATTACTGGCCTGAATAACTGTAAGAATAGGGTTGCCATTGACGGAGGATGAAGACTATGAGCTGTTCTTTTGCGGGGGTGGGCGAGTGGGGGGAGGGTTGGAATCAGGACCTTAGTTTCATCATGTGAATTTGAAATGTCTGTTACACATTTATGTAGGCAATTGACTACCATTGTATATAATGTAGCTTTGTTGAACTCTATGAGAGGCACTGTTTTAAGTGCATTGCCCTCAGTCATTCTTGTAGTCCTCAGAGCAGCCCCATGAAGTGGATTTTTTTACAGGTGAGGAAACAGGGCTTAGGTAACTAGCATGCCTAATATCACAGCTAAGGAGAGAGGCTACAATACAAATCTAGGCAGTCTGACTTTAAAGCCATGGTCTTATTCATTCTCAGAGGATGCCTGGCACTGAGTAGTGGGCAGTCAACAAGTATTACGTCAGTGAGTGAATAAAACAAAAGGCACAGGAGCTACTATCTTCAGAGTCCTTCTATGTTCGTCATTCTTCTTGGTGGTCTCTGGCACCACGCTCAAGTAAGGGAGAAAGATGAAAGGGGTAGCTAATGCTAGTGACAACGACTCTCAGATGGTTTCGTTTCTACCAGAAAGGCCCCGTTTAGCGCGAACGCAGAAGCTCCGCTTTTAGCGCATTTATTCACGCCATGAGTACTGCAAGCAGCCCAGTTTCTGCTTCAGGCAACATTAACTTCGCAGTACTCTAGTTACCAGATTTCGCTAGAGAAACTTAAAGAGGTAGGAACTTTTATGTGCAAACTTTACAGCTCCCGCACGCATGCGCTCCGCCGAGGGGAAAGTGGTTACTACGGCTGCGCGAATCGGTGGCCCGGCCCTTCCCCGTCACATGTCTGGGGACCGCGGCGTGGCGGCGGCTGTGGCGGTAGCGACGGCAGGCCGTAGGGCGGTCGGAGGGTTTCCGGTTCCGGTGTAACGTTCGGGCTCCGTCTCAGGGGCTGAAGTTTGTGAGGTGAGTAGTGGCCCCGGGCCTTGGGAGGGTATCCTCCGGTCTAAGCGGTGAGGGCCAGGGCTCAGCCCAAGGGGAGAACCGAGGCGGGAACGTTCAGTGGGAAGGAAGCCGAAAGAAGTACAAGGTTCTGAGGCAGAATGGGTTGGAGTGAGATTGTGGGGAGGAAAAGGGCGGGGGCGGGAAGGGGACGGAGTGGGGAGACTAGCTTTAGGATGAGTTTGGGGAGAACAAGGTGGGGTAGGGAGCAGGTCGGAGATAGGAAGAGGGCAAACAGAAGAATAGGGGTTGCAGGGGGGGAAACTCAGCTTATAGCAAAGAAGAGCACGGAGTAAGGAAATTTCTTCAGAAGATTGGATTCTGCTACCTGCTCATTCAGAGATCCTCTGCCTTCCTCTTTTTCCACCCCCACCCCGCCCCGCCCCGCCCCAGCCATTTATTGTTGAACATTGGATTAGTGACAAAGCTGGTTACTGTTTGAAACTTTTATTTTTGCCCACTGGCTGTTTAGTTTCCTAGAGGATTGGATCGAAGTTGAATGCATTTGTTAGCATCATACTTGGGCACACATTTCATCTGATAGAGTGGTACCTCATTTGTTGCTTAGGATTTTCAAATTGCTTACACTTTCCAGCCCACGATTGAGTTCTTGTGGAATATAAGATCCGTTAAAGCGAGGATTGTCTGTTATGTTCACTGTCCTGTGTATCCTCAGCACACAGTACACTACTTGAGACCTAGTAATTATGCAATAAGTATTTGTTGAATGATTAAGGATGATTTAGGTGTGGGAATGGGCCTCATTTTGTAAGATGAGTAAACTAAGCCACAGAGGAATTATTTGCCCCAAAGCTTGTAGAGTTCAGTGTTCCAGATGTTCAGGGTGAACTCTTTCTTCACTCTCTTTGGTGTCTGAGTATGCTTTTTTTGAGTAATGCACATTTAATATGTAGAGATTTATAGGCTCTACTGCTATCTCATGAGAGTTGAATAGAGCTGCCACAGAATTACTCATATAACATGTCCCTGAGTCACAAAATCTTTCGCTCCTATTGTCATGATTTTAATCTGCTAGCTACCTATGGTTATACCAAAATTAAATATGCTGTTTAGCAACAGGTCTTACAGAGGATAAACCTGCCAAGAATGTAGAAATTAATCAGACTATCTTTTAGGAGAAAAGATGTCTTAAAACATCTTGAAAGAATGACTCCCAGAGACCCTGATTTGTAGCACTGCTGGGAGGAAGTTTGCTTGGAAATTGAGGTCAGTGCTGTTTATTGACTTTAGGCACTTACAGAGAAAATTAGGGAAATAAAATTTTCTCTGTGCTCATGAGCTTTGCTATTTAAATGGGAGAGCAAAATGTAAACATGAATAATGTTGATGAGTTATACTAACTTGCATTAAATAACAAAGGTTTGTTGTAGAAGGTCCTTTGTGATAGTGTTTTCTCTGCTAAACTAAAAAGTAGAAATATAAAGATGAAAAGGGAGAGAGAGAAGGTACATCCAAAATGAGGGAATTCTTTTCTGAGCTGAAGGATTAATTTTATGAAGTCAATTGACAGATCCTATAGAACATGAGAGAAAATGATCTGGGTACAGAATTTCCACAGGGATGAATATGACTATAGAGAAATGTGACAACATTCTTAAGGATTAGGAGCTTTAATTAGTTAATTAATTTATTTATTTATTTTAAAGTAGGCTCCACACTCAGTGTGGGGCTTGAATTCACAACCCTGAGATTGAGAGTCACATGCTCTATCAGCTGAGGTAGCCAGGCTCCTCAGGATTATGAGCCTTTTTTTTTTTAAATCATAGCTGGGGGAGGGCCTGTGGAAGAGGGAGAAAGAGAATCTCAAGCAGGCTCCACACCCAGGATGGACCCTGGCATGGAGCTCAGTCCCATAACCCCAAGATCATGAACAGAGCCGAAATCAAGAGCTAGATGCTTGACCAACTGAGCCACCCAGGCACCCTTCATTATGAACTTCAATGTACAATGACTGACCTGGATAAGCCCTCCTTTTTTTTTTTTTTAATTCATCCCTTAAAGGAAAGGAAACTTATGGGTCAAGGCTGGGTTAAGGAATGCCTGCCTAGAAGCAGGAGAAATAGAAAAGCTGGTCTCTGGGTGGGCTTTTCAGTCTTGTTTTCAAGGTTATATGTTTGCCACCATCCCTTGTTATGACAGGACCAAAACAGAAGCTAAAACTCAGACTAGATTATTCCCAGGGTTTCCTTGTTTTTTCCACAAATTTACTGATGCACTGATACTTACTGAGTTAGGGTTACAAACAGAATGTGACTCTTTCTGCTTTGAAATACGGATTTTTGGGGAAGTATTTGGCTTGAAATAAAGTATAGGCACTTGCCTGATTGAGAAGAGGGATGGAGATGTCATTCCTGACATACTAAACATTGCCTGGAATGGTCTTTTTCTACCCCCAAACAGAGCTTTTTCCTGGTTTCTTTTTAGGTGCAGTACTGAATCCCATTTGAGCTACCCCCTTTTTCCTGAAGAATGGCACTGTCTAAGAGGGAGCTGGATGAGCTGAAACCATGGATAGAGAAGACAGTGAAGAGGGTGCTGGGCTTCTCAGAGCCCACAGTGGTCACAGCAGCACTGAACTGTGTGGGGAAGGGCATGGACAAGAAGAAGGCAGCTGGTATGTTCTTTCATGAATCTTTGGACTTAACATATAGTATGATCCCAAACACTGCTTTGAATTTCCCCAAATTCTCTGTTGGAAATATCTGAAAAAAATTAGGCCACGTTTTATTTTCTCCTGCATTATAATGGAAATAGCCTAAGTGACTAATTTTGCATTTTTTCTGGCTTTTTATACTACTCCTTTAACCAGTATTATTGAATTGACTAGGTTATATTTACTTAAGAAATATACTAAAGTAGGTAGGTATATTCAGATTGAGATTGACATCTAAATACATTGAAGTCTCTGAAAAATAAAAACATGAAAAAAGTTGAAGATGGTAGAATTTGTTTATGGTAGTCTCCTATAGCTTGCTCTTTGGGAAGAGTTGGGATGATTATTCATCATAAACTTTTTTTTTTTTTTTTTAAGATTTTATTTATTTAAGAGAGAGCATGAACAGGGGGGAGAGAGAGAGGGAAAAGCAGATTCCCCACTGAGTAGGGGTCCTCCCAACCTGGGACTCGATCCCAGGACCCTGGGATCGTGACCTGAGCTGAAGACCGGCGCTTAACTGACTGAGCCATCCAGATGCCCTATTCATCATAAACTTTGATGCTCAACCTGAATAGGTTGCTCTGGCTGTGCTACTTCCTACTGTAAAAAAAAATTCTAACTGTACTTTTACCTCAAAAAGTAGTCATTCAATGTAAAAGGATTTATGGGAATCCTACAAAGAACTTAGGAAGACCTTTCCCTCCCTCCTGGGGATAAAATTTCAGTGTTGGTATCTGTTATATGCCTAGTGTTGGACTAAGTACTCTTACTTTTTCAACCCTATCACCTTTTTTTTTTCCTGTCAGACCATCTGAAACCTTTTCTTGATGATTCTACTCTCCGATTTGTGGACAAACTGTTTGAGGCTGTGGAGGAAGGCCGAAGCTCTAGACATTCCAAGTCTAGCAGTGATAGGAGCAGAAAAAGAGAGCTGAAGGTAGGTTACAGTTAACTATCTGATGAGCTGGGGAGTGTTTTGAATGGTAACAAAGTTGCTGAGCTTACATGCCCCACGCTTTGATATCCTCTATTAGAATACATAATATTCAAGGGAGGTACTTAGACATTAAAGGAGAGGTGAACTTGTATTATCACCATTTTATGGTGATGAACTACCTGAGTTCATGGGTTGAAATACTCCAAAGAAACAATTGGTAGCTTTGTCCTTTTTCATGTACAGTTAGGAGTTTTTGGTTCTTATATTTCCTTATGTCTCCTCCACCTTCCCCCTTGCTACTACCTATAAATTGATTGTCTAAGGTTTTATTCTTTGGATTACTTGGTAACTAATAGAGTGATTCAGAATATGACTCTGCTGCTGTAGACCTAATTGTTGCACCTTTGAGAGAGGTTTCTCTGGAATGGACCTGTAGATGGAATACCTAACAAAAATTATTATTTACTGTATGTCTTGAGAGGCTACTGTTTGCTATATAGCATTTTTCTGGTCATCAGGCCCCATGAGTGGAGTGCTTAAAAGGACCATTATTACTGTTTTACCTCCTTCACTTTTTATTCAGTGACTGCTGATTCATCGTGCCTTCTTTCAATATTAGCAGCTTCAGGTGGCTGATTTCTCTATCTCTTTTCTGTCTCTTCCATTAAGAAACTCTTTTTTTGTGAGTCCCATCAAACCTTCCAAAGTGCATTTGAAACCTTAGCTATCCTGTTGCTTTTCCTGAGGCACAAAGACTAAATAAGCAACGTTGGCTTGGTCCCGGGCCAGGCTGTGGTACCAAGAGAAGTAGAGAATTGTGTGCCTTTTATGTTTAAGGCATTGTAAGGTGTTCAGAGGAATGAGAAATAGCCCTTGCTTTAAAGGAATTGGCAGCTTGGGGGTGGGAGGGATGTGACAACAAATTACAGTCGCAAATTATAAAATCTACGTAGTGGTTTCCTATATATTTTAGAGTTGACTATAGAGTCAGACTGACGTTGAATTTGTTTGTTGAAGGGGAATGCTTGATCCACAGTATACACAGATGTGTGGAGCGAAGTTAGTGCTATAATAGGGCTTGTGGCTGTGTAAGTTCTGAGGCATGCTATGAATGAAGTCACTACATGGGGTGGGATTAATGAAAACGGTTTCTTGAAGGAGGTATCTAGATAGCCTTGGGATATGGGTCCCATTTTGGTCCATTCAGGTCCCCACCCCACACAATATATTATGGGAGAGTCCTTTTTCTTGAACTGTAGGAGTTCCAGGAAGCGCTCGCCCTTGGCCGAGGATATGTCCTTGCAAAACACGAGCCCTCCTAGTGAAGAGGGGATGTCACCCAAAGCCTACCACCGGTGTGTACATTTGCTTTTTCCCGTTGTCCCTTCCAGTTGGCCACTCTTGGTCCTGTTAAATTCACCTTGCAAATTAGTCAACATATTTGAGTTCCCATTGTTTGATGACAACAAGTGTTATTGGGGAATACTGAAGAAGAAAGAGAAAACCCCTGTCCTGGAAGAGCTTAGACTCTAGTTGGGAGAAAGTACTAACATTAAAAGACTTAACACTTGGCAAGCAGAATATCAGCGATGTAATTTTATGCAGCATGAGCCCAGGTCTTAAGTGCTAAGAGGATATGAAACAACAGTTTGATCAGAGTGGGATGAGATTATTTATGAGGAAAACTTCCTGGAGGAGGTGAGTTTCAGGCAGGATTTGGAATAGGGGTGTGGAAAAATTGAGGGAAATCATTACAAATGTAGGCAATAGCTTTTGTAAAGAGCTTGAGATGGGAACATTTATAAGGACACGGAGATGAAATTTGCTTGACTGGAGTAGGAGAATGATGAAGTTGGGTGAGATGGTCCATTTGGTGGAGGGACTAGAGGACTCTGGGAAAAACCACAAAATGCTGATAGGGACTAGGTTGATTTTTCCCTTCTCCCATGGGCAGGGAGACAACTCTTCTTTCGTCTTGGGTTTCCTTAGGAAGTGTTTGGTGATGACTCTGAGATCTCCAAGGAATCATCAGGAGTAAAGAAGCGACGGATACCCCGTTTTGAGGAGGTGGAAGAGGAGCCTGAAGTGATCCCTGGACCTCCCTCAGAAAGTCCTGGTATGCTAACTAAGCTCCAGGTGAGTAATTAGGAACTGAAAGCAGTGATTTTATGAGTTGAAGAAGCAAGAGATGCATGGGTCCAGATTTGTTGTGACCTTAATTTGTATTAGTGTTTAGCATCGGGGAAGACCATTGAAGTCGTATTTACTGAGCACCTGTTATGTGGCAAACAAGCTGTATTACATATATCATTTGCCTAGTTGTGTACCTCATTGAGTCATTGAGAAAATTACTGAAATAATCAGAACTCAACTTGATGGCAGAGGAGAATTTCCAAATATAATGCAGAGACAAGACAATATAATCCACTAAAAATAATTTCAAGTTGACTTTGTCAGGGTGGCAGGGGCGGTTTGTGGGTTGTTGTTTTTTTTTCCTTTGATGTTATTTGTTTAAAGAGAGCGAGCTCACGCAAGCAGGAGAGGAGGGCAGAGGGAGAGAATCCCAACCAGACTCTGTGCTGACCAGAGTCCAGCACAGGGCTCGATCCAAGAGCCAAAACCAAGAGTCAGATGCTTGACCAACTGAGCCACCTAGGCACCCCGACTTTGGGTTGTTTTTTTAAGTAGGAATTATCTGGGGGTGCCTGGGTGGCTTAGTCAGTTAAGCGTATGCCTTTGGCTCAGGTCATCATCCCAGGGTCCTGGGATTGAGCTCCATGTCAGGCTCCCTGCTCAGCAGGGTGTCTGCTTCTCCCTCCTCCCTCTTCTCTGATTTATTCTCTCTCTCTCTCTTTCTCATATAAATAAGTGAAGTCTTTAACCTTTATAAACAGTAAATATTTCTTGTGCCATTTAAAATTTCTTAGAAGGGAAATAGAATATATACATATATGTGTATAGATAAGTAGATGAATTTCTTTTCTTTTCCTTTTTTTTTTTTTTTTTTTAAAGGTAGGGGGTGCAGAGGGAGATGGGGAGAGAGACAATCTTAAGCAGGCTCCACTCCCAGGGTATAGCCTATCACGGGGTTTGATCTCATCACCCTGAGATTATGGCCTGAGCCGAAATCAAGAGTTGGACCCTTAACCGATTGAGCCACCCAGGTGCCCTAGAAAGAAACGAATGTTGGTGCTTTATAGAGAATAGGGGGTGGAAGAAATAATATACCTTTTTGTACTTCTTTTGCATTTTGAACTATGTAAACATATTACCTACTCAAAAAAATGTTTAAAAAAAGTGAATTTTAAAGGAGCTCCTAGTGCACTCAGTGAGAAGAGCACGCAGCTTGGGGTTGTGCATTTGACAACCATGTTGGGTATAGACATTACTTAAATAAATGAAACGTTAAAAAAAATAAAAACAAATTTCAAAAAATACCATGAAGCACCTTGGCAGCAAGGTCTCTTTTTTGGAAAATTCAGAAAGAGTTACTTGATTGTATTTTCAAAGCTTATCATTTTCATGTTCTTCAGGACAAAAGGGTTTTACAGATTCTAGGAAACCGGTCTTTGGTTTGTCATCTCCAGTTACCCAAAGCAGGTATTCATAAAAAGTATGATAATGTGGGGCACCTGGCTGCCTCATTCAGAAGAGCATGAAACTGTTTTTCTCAGGGTCCTGAGTTTGAATCCCATGTTGGATGTAGAAATTCCAAAAAATAAATAAATACACTTAAAAAAAAAAGTATGGTCATTTGTGTTGATTTTGTTAGGAGTTTTGTTTAAGTGCTCATAATAGTCTTGTAACGTAGGTACTGTTTTTACCTATTAAGACACTTGGAGTTTTAGAGATTAAATACCATATCCAAGGTCACACAAGCATTAAGTGTCAGTTAAATTTCAGGCTCAGGTTTCTCCTAACCTGATTTTTTTTTTTTTTTTAAGATTTATTTATTTTGAGAGAAGTAGGGGAGAAGCAATGGGAGAGGGAGAGAGAGAATCTCAAGCAGACTCCATGCTGAGCATGGAGGCTGTCGCAGAGCTCCATCCCACAGAGATTATGACCAGAGCCAAAAACATGAGTCGGACACTTAACCCAAGTCTTAATTGTCAAATTATGTTACTACCAAACATGCCAGTCCTTCAGTAGGAAGATGGGTTGAAAAGTTTCAGTGCTCAGCTATATAGGCTTATCTTTACTAAAATTTCTAGCCAATCGTATAGGCAGAATATGATGGGTTCATTCAAACATTTTAGTTCCCTATACCTAAAAGCCTTTTGTGTTTAGGAACCCATACAGGAGAAATAAAAAAGAGATTTTGAGGTGCCTGGGTGGCTCAGTTGGTTAAGCATCTGCCTTCGGTTCAGGTCATAATCCTGTTGTCCTGGGATCGAGCCCCAGGTCAGTAGGGAGCCTCCTTCTCCTCCCTTTGCTGCCCACCCTGCTTTTGCTCTCTCATTCTCCCTCTATCAAATGAATAAATCTTAAAAAAAAAAAAAAAAAAAAAAAAAAAAGATGTTAACAGTTTTTTTACTTTTTTCCCCCATCGAGAACAGATCAAACAGATGATGGAGGCAGCTACACGGCAAATCGAGGAGAGGAAAAAGCAGCTGAGCTTCATTAGCCCCCCTACTCCTCAGGTACTGTGAAAAGAAGACTCTTTAGCAAAGATTTCTTGCCGTCCAGTCATTTGAGAGTCTGGAAGGTGACTGCATGTTCCACCCTACAATCTACCAGTCTGTGTGTGTGTCTTTTTGTGTGACCTGTCTGCCCAATTCTTCTGATTCTGACTTCTTTTTCTCGATCTCACAGCCAAAGACTCCTTCTTCCTCCCAACCAGAGCGACTTCCAATTGGCAACACTATTCAGCCCTCTCAGGCTGCCACTTTCATGAATGATGCCATTGAGAAGGCAAGGAAAGCAGCTGAATTACAAGCCCGCATCCAAGCCCAGCTGGCACTGAAGCCAGGGCTCATTGGCAATGCCAACATGGTGGGCCTGGCCAATCTTCATGCCATGGGCATTGCTCCACCGTAAGTATCTGTTTCATGGAACCTCTTGTTATTGCTGGAGAAGCAATAAATACCTTTGAAAGTTAAAAAACAACAACAACAACAAACAAAAACCCTGAAATGTTACTGATCCTCTTCTTCCAAGAAACCTACATCATTTCTTAGTTTTGTATTTCTTACATATGCTTAATAAATACCAGATGAATTCTTTTAGCTTCCTTGTCGCAGAATTTATCTTCTTTTAACAATTGGTAGAACGGAGGTTAAGATTATTTATTTATTGTTGGAGCTAGGAATAGAACCAGGTCTCCTGGTTCCTAACTCAGAGCCAAATCCATTAAATCACAGTGAGTGATCCCAGATCTGAGTGTTCCCTACGCTGGATACTAGGCTTTATTTTTATCACCTACAATTGGTTTGGCATATTATATCTGACTCAGAAATTCAGGATTGCAAATTCTTATCAATGTAATGTATATATAAATCATTTCATCTGATTGTCTTCTATACTCAAATATTTAGTTTGATGTTTTCAATCAAGCTGTTATTATTCACTGATGGGCCAATATTCCCTAGAATTTTATAACCTGTTCTCTCTGTTGGGTTTGATTTGTTTTCTTTTGTTTTTATTTGCTTTATTTGTTGCCCCATATGGCATTTATTTCTTGGTGGGCTGTTTCTCAGGAAGGTGGAGTTAAAAGATCAAACTAAACCTACACCACTGATTCTCGATGAGCAAGGCCGGACTGTAGATGCAACTGGCAAGGAGATCGAGCTGACGCACCGCATGCCTACTCTGAAGGCCAATATTCGTGCTGTGAAAAGGGAACAATTCAAACAACAGCTAAAAGAAAAGCCATCTGAAGATATGGAGTCTAATACTTTTTTTGACCCCCGAGTCTCAATTGCCCCTTCCCAGCGCCAGAGACGCACTTTTAAATTCCATGACAAGGGCAAATTTGAGAAGATTGCCCAGCGGTTACGGACAAAGGTACCTAGTTAAGAACATAACCCAGAACTAGAAGTTAGGAAGGGGAAAAGGAAATTTAATACAGTCCTAAAATACTATCAACTCAGTTCTCTTAAGTTTTAACAATTAGATACACAAGTAATAAAACAGTGACTTAATTTTTAAAATACTTCATTTATGCCTGGAATCCTTGATTTTTTTAGCTGATTTGTCTTCTTAATTATACTCTGCTTACGTGGAAATAAAACTGAGTTTGGAAATTCACATACAAACAGTGGAAGGAAACAATTCAGAATACTCTGAGTGACTGAGGAAAGCTAGCCTGGTGTTAACATTTACTGCAGATAAATTAACTCCACATGTGGAGAGTTGGATTGACTGTATATTCAGTGAGTTTTGCTCTTGTTTTCATCCTCTAAGAATGGTGTTTTCATGAAATTCCATTTCCGTGTATTTGCTATAGGCACACACTGTGGGGTGAAGCGGGTGGTGCTGCGAGTAGTTGTATGTAAATCAACTAAGGATAAAATAAAGTGGAAGATTCTTCTAAGCTTTCAGAAATTATGAATTCTTTGCATTAGGCATAAAGAGTTCAACAAGAGAGTGCTTTAAAATACGGTTCTATCATATCCTGGTGTTCTGTAACTCTAGTTTATCTTCAAGTCTTATTTTATCTTGTCTTTAGGCTCAACTGGAGAAGCTGCAGGCAGAGATCTCACAGGCAGCTCGAAAAACAGGCATCCATACTTCAACTAGGCTGGCCCTCATTGCTCCTAAAAAAGAACTAAAGGAAGGAGATATTCCTGAAATTGAGTGGTGGGACTCTTACATCATCCCCAATGGCTTTGACCTGTGAGTTTGTTAGTTAATACCTTTTGATAAAGCTAGAGTTTTATTGGGAGAGGTGGTATTCATGCATTAAGTAAAATTTTAAAATCCTGGGGAAATAGGTAACCATACACAGACTCATGTGTTTGTGAAGAATATATTGTATAGGTTTTTTTTTAATTTGGGGGGTTAACATAGGAAGGAACAGACACAAATAATCTAAAAGAAAAAGAATGTAAGTTTTATATTTACTTTTGTTGTACATAGTTATTTTCTTAATTACATTTTCTGCCACTTATAATAGGTTTTTATATTTCTTAAAGATCCAGTCCTGGAATAGTGGAAGGATTCTTAATTGATGGGGGAGAGAATGGTAAATAAAGCATTTAGGAAACATTTGGAGAGCTTTAATTACATCTCCTCTGTAATTCTGATACATGGCTTTAGGAGACCGTGTTCCAGGCTTTCCCCTTACCCTTTCTTTGTCAACCACTGTCCCAGGGAGTTACCATTATTAGTTGAGAGAATGTGACATCTATCAAGGATGTTAGTGTAGGAAAAAGGTTGAGAATGACTGGTGTGGAGAATATGTCCAACCTTAGTGGGAGCCAGTTTTCTCATCTTGAAAATTATGTGTAATATAATTACATGTTGTAGATAAACAAACACTAAAAAGTGCTAGAACACATAACGGAGAGTGCATTTTTCATTGTGTTTCTGAGACTCCCTCTCTCTTGGAATTGTCTCTACCCACATATCCTGTTTTCCCTTCTTCCTCCAATTTTAGTACAGAGGAAAATCCCAAGAGAGAAGATTATTTTGGAATCACAAATCTTGTTGAACATCCAGCCCAACTCAATCCTCCAGGTAATGTATAGCTTACTCAGTTAAGGCTCTAGAGAAGTATTATCCAATAGAACTTCATGTGATAATGAACATGTTCCCTACCCGTGCTGACTATACAGTACCAGCTGTCCACTTGTGACTACTGAGCACTTGAAAATGGAGTTGCACTAATACAACTGAAAGACTAACTTTTAAATTATGTTCAATTTTAATAGTGTATGTGTGGGGCGCCTCGGTGACTCACATGGTTAACATCTGATTCTTGGTTTCAGCTCAGGTCATGATCTCAGGGTTGTGGGATCAAGCCCTAGCCCTGTGTCAGGCTCTGTGCTAGGTGTGGAGCCTGCTTAAGATTCTCTCTCTGTCGCTCTGCCGCTCCTCCTTGTATGCATGCACGCACTCTCTCTCCATATATATATAAATAAGTAGATCTTTAAAAATATGTAGGTAGGCAGATAGTGTATGTGTGTGGCTATTAGCTATGGTATTGGACAGTGCAGCTCTAGAGCAGTGAGGCCTACTCCAGAGATGGTTTCACTAATGCGTGTAACAAATTGGGTTTTAAAAAATCATTCTTGGGGCACCTGGGTGGCTCATTCCTTAAGTGTCTGCCTTCAGCTAGTGTCCTGGGATTGAGCCCCGCATTGGGCTCCCTGCTGGGCAAGCCTGCTTCTCCATCTTCCTCTGCCTGCAGTTCCCCCTTCTGTGCTTGCTCTCTGTTTTATTTCTAAATAAATATAATCTTCAAAAAAAATCATTCTTGGGATGCCTGAGTGGCTCAGTCGGTTTAGCATCTGATTCTTGATCTCGGTTCAGGTAGGATTGTGCGTTTAAACCCTACATTGGACTCCATGCTGGGTGTGAAGCCTACTTAAATAAATGAAAAGCATTCTTTTTTTTTTTTTTTTAAGATTTTGTTTATTTATTTGACAGAGATCACAAGTAGGCAGAGAGGCAGGCAGAGAGAGAGGAAGGGAAGCAGGCTCCCTGCTGAGCAGAGAGCCCGATGCGGGGCTCGATCCCAGGACCCTGAGATCATGACCTGGGTGGGAGGCTTAACCCACTGAGCCACCCAGGCACCCCACAGATCATTAAAGATTTTAATACTTGCATCAGATTTGGGATGATTAAAGGACACAATACCTCGATTAGTAAATTTTGAAAAAATAGGTTGAGACCTTGAGGTAATACAATATATGGAAATCACTGAATATTACTTAGTAAGAGTCTACTTAGATGTCATCAGTGTGGATCATTGGAAGAACGTAGGGATTGTGTTTAAAACAAAAAGTTCAGAGGTTGGGGCACCTGGGTGGCAGAGGGTTAAAGCCTCTGCCTTCGGCTCAGGTCATGATCCCAGGGTCCTGAGATTGAGCCCCGCATTGGGCTCTCTGCTCAGCAGGGAGGCTGCTTCCCCCTCTCTCTCTGCCTGCCTCTATGCCTACTTGTGATCTCTTTCTCCGTCAAATAAATAACTAATTTTAAAAAAATTTTAAAAAAGTTCGGAGGCATGTGAGTGGCTCAGTTGAGTGTCTGACTCTTGGTTTCACCTCAGGTCATGATCTCAGGGTCAAGAAATCCAGGGGAGGGCGCCTGGGTAGCTCAGTGGGTTAAAGCCTCTGCCTTTGGCTCCGGTCATCATCCTAGGGTCCTGGGATCGAGCCCTGCATCAGGCTCCCAATTCAGCAGGAAGCCTGCTTCTCCCTCTCCCATTCCCCCTGCTTGTGTTTCCTCTCTTGCTGTGTCTCTGTCAAATAAATAAATAAAATCTTTTTAAAAAAGAAAAGAAAAGAAAAAAAGAAATCCAGGGGAGCCCCGCGTCAGGCTTCACATTCAGCAGGGAGTTTGCTTGAGATTCTCTCCCTTTCCCTCTCGCCCTCCATCCCCGCACTTGCATGTATGCACACACTCTCTATAAAATGAATAAATCAATCTTCAAAAAATAGTAAAAAGTTGAGGGGTGCATGGCTGGCTCAGGTCAGAAGAGCATGTGACTCTTGCTTTCAGGTCCATGAGTTTGAGCCCCACTTTGGATATAGACATTGTTTAAATGAATAACCTTTAAAACTAATAATAAGTAAAATTAAATAAAAATTTGAGTAAACCTGCTTTGGGAGTCCAGAGGATTTTTCCCAATCCCTGTAACTTCAAAAGTATAAATTTCATCATTGTGGCCCCACCTACCCCAAATCCTCAGACAAGGCAACTAGAGCAGCTCTCACTTTCTTTTCTATATTGGCCACTTTCAGTTGATTAAAGCATTCAACTCCTTCAAGAAAAAACAAGTTAGAACACTCTCATGAAAGATAAGAATGCTTTAAAAAAAAAAAAAAAGAGTAACATACTAGGGGCACCTGGGTGGCTCAGTTCTTAAGCATCTGCCTTCAGCTCAGGTCATGGTCACTGGGTCCTGGGATCAAGCCCCACATCGGGCTGCCTGCTCAGCGGGAAGCCTGCTTCTCCCTCTGCTTGTATTACCTTTCTCGCTGTCTCTCTCTCTATCAAATAAATAAAATCTTTAAAAAAAAAAAGTAACATACTACCATTATCACAACGTAAAAATAATAAGAATTAAATTTCTTTTATTTTATTTATTTTTTTTTTTTAAAGATTTTATTTATTTATTTGATAGACAGAGATCACAAGTAGGCAGAGAGGCAGGCAGAGAGAGAGGAAGGGAAGCAGGCTCCCTGTTGAGCAGAGAGCCCGATGCGGGACTCGATCCCAGGACCCTGAGATCATGACCCGAGCCGAAGGCAGCGGCTTAACCCACTGAGCCACCCAGGCGCCCAAGAATTAAATTTCTTTTAATGTGATTGATATTCACTTACATTCCTCTGATGGGTTTGTTGCTTTTATACTTTCATTTCTCTACCTGGCAGTTGATAATGACACACCAGTTACTCTGGGGGTATATCTTACTAAGAAGGAACAGAAGAAACTTCGAAGGCAAACAAGGAGGGAAGCACAGAAGGAACTACAAGAGAAAGTCAGGCTGGGCCTGATGCCTCCTCCAGAACCCAAAGGTATGTATCTTAGAGGGAGGGAAGAAAGGGTGGTGTGTTTGTTTATCTCTGTAATTCTAGAAGAACTTTCTCATCTCTCTATATTTGGGTGCTTTCCATTTCTCGGAATCATTCATTGATTCTTTTCTTCCTTTCCTAAATTTTCTACAATTTTACTAAGGTCAGCATATTCACTATAGAAGTCATTTAAGGCTTATGAAAATATGTAACACTGTGATCCTCCTGAAAGAATAATGGTCTTGAAATACGTGAAGATAGTAGCTGCAGAGTGTGCATAAATTTGTTTTGTACATAATTCTTAATACCTGAAAAACAAAGATACTGTTAAAAGAAACCTTCACTCCTGTAGTTCCCATTACCACTCAGTAATCTTTTGAGTGAGCACTGTAGGATCTTTAACTAAATGCTGTGATCAGAGTGAAAAATACCAAAGAAATTAAGTTCCTTATCTTTCATAAATTTTCAAGCAGTTTAAGTAAATGTATACCAACTATTTAGATTGTGTGTCCTTCCACAAATGCTGAGGTAATTGGATGGGCTTTTCAAGGTAGGGATTTTTGGAGGAAATGAACTTTGAGCAGAGATTTCAAGTAGGTAAACAGTATGAATTGAGAAAAGGTGACAGATTATCTCAGCTGGAGAATTAATTGTTTTCTATCCTCTCTCCACGTGCAGTGAGAATTTCAAATTTGATGCGAGTATTAGGAACAGAAGCTGTTCAAGACCCCACGAAGGTAGAAGCCCATGTCAGAGCTCAGATGGCAAAAAGACAGAAGTAAGTGCCATGGGATTGGGTGGAAACCCAGGGCAAGTACCTTTCCCAGACTCTTCTGGGGGGATCCATATTTGGAGGGAGGGGAGAGTCCTCTGTTGCTCTCTCTTTCCCTCAGCTTTGCCTCTGATCTTCAATGCCTTTCTCACTTGTGGATGTCCTTCCTGTCACGACAGAGCGCATGAAGAGGCCAACGCTGCCCGAAAACTTACAGCAGAACAGAGAAAGGTCAAGAAAATTAAAAAGCTTAAAGAAGACATTTCACAGGGGGTACACATATCTGTATATAGGTAGGTGTCCAATCTGGGCCAGGCTTTGCCTTAGAAATACCAAAAATTTTCCAAGTGCTTGAGGCAGAATCACTGTGGACAAAGCACACTTAACATCAGTCTCTGCTCTCTTCTGTGACCCCAACGTGAATCTGGAGCTAGTGAATCTTTTTTTTTTTTTTTTTTTTTTTAAGTTTTTTTTTTTTTATTTGATAGAGATCACAAGTAGGCAAAGAGGCAGGGAGAGAGAGTGAGAGGGAAGCAAGCTCCCTGCTGAGCAGAGGGCCCGACGTGGGACTCGATCCCAGGACCCTGGAATCATGACCTGAGCCGAAGGCAGCGGCTTAACCCACTGAGCCACCCAGGCACCCTGGAGCTAGTGAATCTCTTATAATGAGGGAGGTTTAAGGACTTAATCATTGATCTCTGAGGCTTTTCAGTGAACCAGTACTAGTTCTGAAGAATGAATGAATGAATATACCTGTTGAAACAAACCTGTGAACTAAGGATCATCATCCTTTGATGAAATATAAAATAACCTATTTCTCCAGGAAGCATTAAACCAGAAACTATATTCTTATCCTCACTTATTGCAGTAATCCTTATTTCCACTCCAAAGTATATTTTATACATTGTAAATATTTTCTACCTTCCTGTTGATTTAATGTTTTCATTTTATTCTTTTATGTTGAGTGCTTGTGTACCTTCCATTTTTTAAAATGTGCTCCTTTTTAATAACTAGCTCTTTATTATGAAAGTACTTTATTAGAAAAGTAGTGAAAGCTTATTAAAATTTTTTTTGATCTAATACTATAGAAGGCCCTTACTGAAAAAGTCCCCTTCCTACTCTCTGATCCCTTGACACCACCTACTGTAGGTAATTGCGACTAACGTTTTTTTGCGTAGCTTTCTAGAAATTTTCCATGCATAGCATTCTGACTACTTTATGTTATAAACATCTAGGAGACAGAGTTTGTTGATCTTTATACTGTCAAGAACAATTAGCTTACACATATTTTGGATGATGGCAAATACCTCTCCTTTCTTAGAGAACATTTCAATTACTTGCTATTTGTTGTAGGGTGTACAGTACTTGTCTTTGAAGCATAAGACAGTGGAATTACTTTGATACTCATTGATTCTAGCTTTTAAGCATTAGTGTATTTGCTTACTTCAAAGGGCTTTGTTTTTAGAGAGAAAACCATTTTGGATCCATCTGTTTATTTGCCATTCCATTCAGGCAGCAACTGATGCTAAAACAAAAGCCGTAACTAAACTTTCCCTTCTCCAGAGTTCGAAATTTGAGCAACCCAGCCAAGAAGTTCAAGATTGAGGCCAATGCTGGGCAGCTGTACCTGACAGGGGTGGTGGTACTGCACAAGGATGTCAACGTGGTAGTAGTGGAAGGGGGTGAGTCTGAAAAAACGGAGGGAGACCATCCCCATGCAACCCTAGGCCTTGAAGTGATAAGAATGGTGGGAAGAAAAGAAAAGAGTTTTAGAGCCATACCTGGCTGTAATATCCTGGGCCTCTGTTTCTGTGTTTATTGGAGTAGAAGGACCTAAGATGTGGTTCCTGGGATCGCTTCAACTACCACATTAAGGTCTGCGTAACAAATGCACTTAGAGGTTCTTTCTACTTCATCATCTTCCGCCTTTCTGGCAAAGTTCTCCTCCTCTGTTTCCAGGCCCCAAGGCCCAGAAGAAATTTAAGCGTCTCATGCTGCATCGGATAAAGTGGGATGAGCAGACGGCGAGCACAAAGGGAGATGGTGAATGGGGGTTCAAGGGGATTCGGCGGGGGGTGGGGGTGGCGCTCTGTCCCGTCAGCCGTTCCTTCCCAGTGAAAATTGCTCATACTAGATAATGTTTAGGAATTTTAGAAAGACCCATTTGGATTGTGAACATGATAGGCATTCATAGAGTATTTATGATGTGGTGATGCGTGTGACTGTTAGTTATTCTTCTGCCTGACCTTTCTATGAGCTGCTTTCCCTGTCTGCCTGGTCACTGGCTATGGGAGTGTATTGAGTTTGTGAAAATGTAGCAAGCTACGAATACTCTATTTTTAAAAGATTTTATTTATTTATTTGACAGAAACAGAGCATAAGCAAGGGGAGTGACAGCAGAGGGAGAGAAACCGGGCACCCCACTGAGCAGGGTGCCTGATGTGGGGCTTGATCTAAGGGCCCTGGGGTCATGGCCCAGGCTGAAGGCAGACACTTAATCAACTGAACCACCCAGGCAGCCCAAGCTATGCACTTATATGTGCACTAAGTATGGGGGGGGAGCTTTTTAAAGGGTTGAAGGCAAAACGTATATGCACTTTTATTCTTTTGCCTGCCTTTATATATGTATAAAATGTAAAAATATAAATTACATGTATATATTTGATATCCCCCTGAAGGTCACAAATCATCAATATTCATTCTTCCCTTCTTTGGAAACCTGGGTTAGCATTTAACATGCACAGTCTTACTTTTCTTAATTTTACCTAACTTTGGACCTCTTAAATTTTTTGTTCTTAAAGTATTTTTGTGCCCTACTTAAAGTACACTTTTTTACTACACTTGACCTATATTTTCTTTCGTTTTGCAAGGTTTCTAAGATATTTTCATTTAGTTTATCTGCCCTCCTCCCCTAGATTAAAAACTCCTTGATAAGGTACTCTATCATGTTGGCATCTGAAGCCTGGCTCTCAAAGTGCTTAAGACAAGTTTTTTATTTTGTTTTGTTTTTTAAGATTTCATTTATTTATTTGACAAAGGCAGAGTACAGGCAGGAGAAGAGGCAGGGAGAGCTTCTCTAGCAGGCTCCTGCTGAGCAGAGAGCCCAATGTGGGCTCCCTGCAATCATGACCTGAGCTGAGGGCAGACACTTAACTGACTGAGCCACCCAGGTGCCCCTTAAGACAAGATTTTATTGTTGATTACTTGTCTTTTTTATTTTTCTCCTTATTCCCAGTACCTGGGCAGCTCTTGACATATAATAAGTGCTCAGTAGATGTTGAATTAATTAGTATCTCTGGCTGTTTGGAGCTTTCAGTCTAATTCAGGGGAAATAAAAATAACAGAAGAAATTTAACCCTGATACATGGCAAAGAGGGGGACAACATTTAAAAGAATTGGGGTAGACTTGAATACTCCTTGTTTAGAACCTAAATCTTGATCTCTAGTCTAAGTCTAGAGCAAGATTTAGCTATATTGTCTTTTCCAGATGATGAGGAATCTGATGAAGAAGCTGTGAAGAAAACCAACAAATGTGTACTAGTCTGGGAGGTAGGTGATCTTCTGTTAACCACTGAAGCAGAACTTTAACTAATTCCTGGTTTATAGCATTCTAGAGGAGCAGTGGAATGGTAAAACTAAGCGATGACTGATTCCTTAAGCAGTTTAGGTTTCTTTTTGGAGTTCAGTGGTAAATGTTTGGCAGCAGATTCTTCCTGATTATATTTCAGTTAAATTGATGAGTATATAGTGTATTTCACCTGGGGGCAGGGGAGAGTATGGAAAACTGGTGGCAAGAATACAAACTCTCGGCCAAGTTGTTTATTTCAGAGTCCTGGATATGAGATGTGGAAAGAGGGAAATGGATTGTGGGATTTTTTTTGGTCTGAATATAATGAAAGAAGTACTAGACTTAAGAATATCAAGTTGGGAGACTGGGCAGTACCACTCACTAGCTGTTCAACTGGACAAAACACTTAACATCAATTACTGTTGGTTTGTTCTACAAAATGTGGATATTATTTTCCCTGTCTATTTGTCAAATTTTTTCTGAACAGAATTAGATTACTATGTAATAGTGCTCTGTAAAATGGAGCTTGTTTATGGTTATACAGTTCCCCTCATTTCTGAAATCTTAGTGAACCAGTGTTTGTTATGAAGAATGAATTAATGAATATTATGCTTATTAAGGCCAAAATGTCAATTAAGGATTGTTCATTATTTGAGAAGCATAAAATACCATCCTGTTTTTCCAGGAAGCATTAAAATTTTCTTTCTTGAATAATTATATCCTTATCCTGATGTGTTGCAGTAATCCTTTTATTCCCACTCCAAAATACATTTTTTACATTGTATTTTCTACCTTTGTGTTGATGTAATGTTTTTATTTTATTCTTTCATATTGAGTACATGTATATCTTTCATTTTTTAAAAGTACTCACGTTTAGTAACTAGTTCTTTATTATAAAAGTATTATTTCAAAAGTGGTAAATGCTTATTAAAATAAATTTTAATAACAGAGAAGAACATTTACTGAAATGGTCTCCTTCTAATCTCTGATTCTTTAAGACCACTCTTCATAGGCAGTTGTTAATGTTCTTCATGTATCCTTTTGTCTTACCCCAGACTTGTCCAATTTATGCATACAAATTAGAATAATAACCATAATACCCCACCTGCATATTTAAGGTCACAACCCCTTCATCTCTTCCAGTTTCTCTTCCATTTATCTCTGAGAATCCACAGGAATTGTATCTCAGGTTCAGAAACAAGCCAGGTTCTCCTCTAGCTTCTTACTGGAATTTCATCCCTGAGAGTCTCTTGAGATAGCACTAAAGTGCATGCCAAAGTGACTGCCATTGCTGGTGGCGCCTTTGGCAAGGTTGTGGTTACACACCCAGTTCTGTATGGTTTTCTGTTGTAGTTCTCCTTGGGTAGTCCCCACACTGCTCCCATTCCCCTCTTCCCCTCACCCTCATATTGTTCTTGGTCTGTGGGCCCCAAAGCCTCCTGCTTATATACCGGGTCCCACTGAGTCTTGGTAGAAGGAGTCCTTTCAGCCTTTGGTTCTCTCCTTTAAGGCCCAAATCTAGTTCTGGAGGCCTGGTGGGTTAGTGGTTCATCCCATCTCACCCTCCATAGTCCTTCCTGACTTGCTCTTTAACCCAGGTACCAGAGCACAGAATTCCTCATCCTTTGTTCATCCCAAAAAAAAAAAAAAACCTAAAACAACAACAGCAACAACAAAAACAACCCCTGAAGCCTTTATGCCTGTAAATTCATGAAGACTTACACAAATATCCAAGGGAGTGGAGGTTGGAATAGCTTTTGCTGTAAAATCATGCTCACTAGGCACATTGCTACACAAATGTTACTAGGTTTTAAAGATTCATTTATTTAAGGGGCGACTCCTGGCTCAATCAGTTGTGTCTGCCTTCGGCTCAGGTCATGATCTCATGGTCCTGGGATCGAGCCTTGCGTGGAGTTCCCTGCTCAGTAGAGTCTGCTTCTCTCTCTCCCTCTGCCCCTCCACGCTACTTGTATGCAAACAACAGCCCTGCTTTTCTCTCTCAAATAAATAAAATCTTTAAAAGGAAATAAATAAAGATTTATTTATTAGAGCGAGAACACGTGTGCATGTGCACATGGCGGGGTAGATAGGGAGAGAATCTCAAGCAGACTCGCTGCTGATTGCAGAGCCCGACACGGGGCTTTCGCTCACAATCCTGAGATCATGACCTGAGCTGAAATCAAGAGTCAGATGCTCAACTGATGGAGCTACCCAGCACCCCAAAAATGCTACTAGGTTTTAAAAAAGAGTATTATATCTGATTTAAATTAGAAATTGCAATGTTTTGGGGCACCTGGCCGATTCAGTTGGTGGGGCTTACAACTCTTGATATGGGGGTTGTAGTTTGGAGCCCCATGCTGGTGTAAAAATTTCTTAAAAAAATAAATAAAATCTTTTAAAAAAATTGCAGTGTTCTTAACTACAGATGTCTCTTTCCCAGGGTACAGCCAAAGACCGGAGCTTTGGAGAGATGAAGTTCAAACAGTGCCCTACAGAGAACATGGCTCGAGAGCACTTCAAAAAGCATGGGGCTGAACACTACTGGGACCTTGCACTGAGCGAATCTGTGTTGGAGTCCACCGACTGAAACTACTGCGAGCCCTTGCCTCTCCCCTCCTGCCTTTGTCTCTTCAGTCCTCTTACTCTACTTCCCAACCCAGTCCTGTTTGTGTGTGTGATCTCAGAACTGTGCCAAGCTGACATTGGGTCAAAGGGAAAACACCTTAGTCCCTTCCCCAGTCAGCCTGGTGCTGCCCTTTCTTCCCCTTATGTGCATATGATTAAAGAGTTATTTTTAAAGTTGGTATGATATTTTTCACACATTTATAGGTATTGGAGTTTGGGTCTTCAGGTGATCTTTTCTCCCAACTTCTGCAATTGCTGTGGAAAAAGAAAATTTTGTCATTGATATCTGTGTATATATTGAATGGATGAATGGATGGATGGATGACTGAATGGATGAATATGTATTTTTTGATGTCTGATGGAAATTCCTCACCTCATCTTGGAGCAAGAATGATAAATACTGTTTTTCTCCAGCAGAGTAAATAAAGGAGGAGGTGTTCAGTGGGTAAAAGAGGGTGGAACAAATCTGTTAACCTTCAAGAGAGTCACAAGGCAGATTACCCCTGGTCTTGGCTATAGTCTTAACAGGAAGTCATTTCCTTAAACAGGTACATAGATGAGAGATGTGTGTTGTGGGTGAAGTGGACACAGGAAGAGTCCAAGGAGGATGTTATGGGTCAGTTTGTAAAATGGAATAGGATTCAGGAATTTAGCCTATTTCCTCTCTTTACTAATTAAAAAAATAGAAAATCTTTTTCTAAAAGGCAACATGTAGTTTGTTTTTTCTTTTCCAAAGAATCTGACTAGATGAGGTTCTTTTCAGAATGTACTGTTTCTGGTTTGATTTTAGGAGTATTTAGGTCAGCATCAGTATCCATTGAAGTCCAGAATTCTTACCATATCTACACTTCCAATTCATGTTGCCTGTTGAGAACCTACTGGGAATGGATCGAACACAGGAGCCATTAGAGCTCCTGTAAGTTGCTCTAGTTGGAGTTTACCAGGAAGTGGTGTTGAAAAATGGATACTTGATTAGAAGTTAAAACATTCCTTATTATAAAATTAACCCTTTATTAAAAGTTTTATGTGTTCAGGTCCTAGTTAGAGTTCTAATTTCAAAACAGTATGAGAGAGCTTTAGGATAAAAAAGGTGGAAGGAGACAGGAACAGCTAAAGGCCTTAAGGAAAACCTAATATGATCTCTTTTAGAGATAAGTAAACTATAACCCAGACAGGTGAGGTTAACTAATTATTCCTGGAGCAGGATGAAATCCGAAAAGCTCACCAGGCCTCAGCAATGAACTGGGTACTTGCTAATAATCATCTCTATCTGTGAGATGGGAGCCAGAGAATTGAACTTGTTTTTGATACTTCTTGATTTAAGCAAATCCAGGGGAAAAATTCATTGTCATAGAAATAAGTGCTTTTGCTCTCATTAAAGGATTTATCACAATATGTGTAAATAATTTATATACTACTTCAAAAATGTATTATTTGCATAAGGCCTAAAAAGGAGGATTTATACTCAATACACAATTTTTCATTGTAAAGTATAGTGACACTTTTTTTTTTTTTAAGATTTTATTTATTTATTTGACAGAGAGAGAGAGGGATCACAAGTAGGCGGAGAGGCAGGCAGAGGGTGGGGGGAAGCAGGCTGTTTGCTGAGCAGAGAGCCTAATGCAGGGCTCAATCCCAGGACCCTGGGATCATGATCTGAGCGGGAGGCAGAGGCTTTAACCCACTGAGCCCACTCAGGCATCCCAGTATAGTGAGACTTAACCATACCTTGAGCAAGTCTTTTTTTTTTCTTTTTAAGATTTTATTTATTTGACAGATCACAAGTAGGCAGAGAGGCAGGCAGAGACAGAGAGGGGGAAGCAGGCTCCTTGCTGAGCAGAGAGCCCAATGCAGGGCTCTATCCCAGGACCCTGGGATCATGACCTGAGCAGGAGGCAGAGGCTTTAACCCACTGAGCCACCCAGGTGCCCCATTGAGCAAGTCTTTAATCTGCCTGTGCTTCACAGTGTTTCTGTTGTCTTTAAATTTTTTGACCCCATCCATACTGTATTGAGCATTGTGTTCCATAAGCATTGCCTCTTTTCTCAGAATAAATTTAAGATAGAAGTAGATTTTAGAGATGAGGAATTTGAGGCTTAGAGTAAGTAAGTTGCTCCAAGGTTCTGGCTAGTAAGTAATGGAGCTTAGTTTGAACCCAGGTTCATTTGACTAGACCCCGAACTCTTAGCCCCTACATACGCTGCTTCATTTGTGAAATAAGGTGGTAGGGACAGCTGTGTTCTTTCAAATTAATGTTATTCCCAGAGTAGTTCCTACTTAAAATGCATTATGAACTTTAGCAATTCCTTTCATAATGTTTGAAATTATGTATATTATGTCAGATATGTTAATGTCTGTTGTTTGTCCTCCAGAGTTCTGGTAAGAATTTTAAAAGTCATTTGGAATTTATGATAGGGAATTAAGGGAGACATCAAGGTAGAAAATAGCTTTCTTGGTCTAAAAGTGAATATAAAATAACTGGACTATTTACTCCTCCCTGTATGTAGCTTACCTTGATGAATTTCTAGAATGATCTTGAAAATGTTAATATCCTAGGACTATAGGTACCAAATAATTATTTTTGGATAAGGCAATTCAGTAATAACTAACACTTGACCATTTTACAGTTTTCAAGGTGCTTTTGCATGTTATTCAATGCAATATTCCTGGAGATAAGAAAATATAAATAATTTCACTCAGGGGAGAAAATGTTATTGCACAAAAGAGGCAATTTAAGATAGCTCTTGAAAGATAGGTAGACTTTTGATAATAGGATGTTTTAGGCAGAAAGAACAGAATTAATTGCAAATAGAAAATTACAAGATATATTTAAGGAAAAGAACAGTTTGGAGCCCAAAGAACCATGGAGGGGAGGCATTTGAGATTATACTGGCAAGTTAGATTGGAACCATTGCGGAGAGTCTTAAAAGCCAGGGCTTTTACTTAATAGGTAACAAGGAACACTTTTTTTTTTTTTTAAAGATATTTATTTGAGAGAGCACTTACAAGTAGGGGAAGAAGCAGGCAGAGGCAGAGGGAGAATCAAGCTCCCCTTTGATCATGACCTGAGCCAAAAGGCAGCCACTTAACCACTGAGCTACCTAGGTGCCCCAAGGAACACTTTTTTTGTTTTGTTTCAAGGGGAGGGGAAAAGATGTTCATCTGATAATGGTATATAAGTTGAAGAGGTAGACTGAGAAGCTGATTGTGATGCTCCTGTGCTGATATCATAGTTCATTAGAATGGTAATGATAAACATAAGTAGTAGAGGGCAAAGGGAATGGAAAGCGAATTCATACAAGAGTTGTGGGGTTGTTTTTTTTTTTTTTTAAGATTTTATTTGTCAGACCAGGAGAGCACAAGAGGGGGAGGGGCAGGCAGAGGGAGAGGAAGAAGCAAACTCCCTCCTGACCCTGCGATCATGACCTGAGCCGAAGGCAGATGGTTAACTGACTGAGCCACCTAGGTGCCCCCATACAAGAGATTTCTAGGTAAAGGTCTATAAGATTTGATAACTAGATGGAAGAGGTAGAAACAAAAATAACTAGAATATCCCACTTGAATATGTCTGAATGCAGGTTATAAAATTTAATCTTTAAGAGAGGATAAGGAGATGGGGCGCCTGGGTGGCTCAGTGGGTTAAGCCTCTGCCTTCGGCTCAGGTCATGATCCCAGGGACCTGGGATAGAGCCTCGTGTCGGGCTCTGCTCAGCTGGGAGCCTGTTTCCCTCTCTCTCTGCCTGCCTCTCTGCCTACTTGTGATCTCTCTCTCTCTGTCAAATAAATAAATAAAATCTTAAAAAAAAAAAAAAAAGGAGAAGGAGAAAGATAACAAAAGGGCTAAAAATGGAACTGTGGCAAATAGGGTGCAAAAACTAGCAATGGGCAGAGAAATCCATTAATTTAGTACAGTCTAATTAAGGATTGTACATTTAACAGAAGCAAAAGGAAGTAAGTTTTAAGAAAAGTTTAAGTGTAATAATAGCTGACACCATCATCAAACCTTTTCTGACTCAGGCACTGCTCGAACCACACATTCATTAACTCATTTAATAATTGTAGCACCACAGAGATTAAGAAATTTACCTAAAATTGCTGCTGGTAAGTGGCATAGCCTGAATTTCAGCAGTCTGGTTCTAGAGGCCTTGTTCTTAGCCATTACACTCTCTAGCAGAAAAATGGGAGGTGAAGCCTGCAATAATACACTGGAATTAGCAGTTAGCAGATAATTAGTGCCTTTGAAGTGGGTGTTTCCTCAGCACCTACTACAGTGCCCACTTATTTCACTGAGAAAATGAGCAGCTGAAGAGAATTTCTGCACATTGTGACCAACAAATCTATCAATATACCTGAATCTCTTACTACATTATCTACTTTCCTATTAAAAAACAAAACAAAACTGTGGACCTATCACTTGATTCTATCCTCTCCCATCTATTCAAGGAAATCAATCCAGCCATTGTCCCATCTCTACTCTGTATCAATATTTAACCCCCAATTTTCATTTGCATCAGCTATAATTATTTCCCATCGTAGAAAAAGGACTGATGCCTTGATTTCACATTTCCCTTCAGCTTCAATTCTATTTCTCTGCTGCCTTTCTTCCTTTTATTTCTTTTCTTTTTTTAAATAGGCTCGGTACCCAATATGGGGTTTGAACTCATAACCCTGAGATCAAGAGTCACACATTCACCAACTGTGTGAGCCAGGCATCCCTCATTTTATTTCTTGAAAGAGTTGTCTATATATGATATCTCCACTTCTCCCATTCTTTGTAGAACCCTCTCCAATCACTTCACTTCCTAGAAACAGCCCTTTTCAAGACCACCAATGATCACCAATGTTGCCAAATCAGTGGTTATCTCAGTCCTCACCCAACCTACACAGCAACAGCTGACATAATTTTTTTTTAAGATTTTATTTATTTGACAGAGGGAGAAAAGAGCACAAGTAAGCAGAGAGGCAGGCAGAGGGAGGGGGGAAGCAGGTTCCCCAATGAGCAGGGAGCCCAACGAGGGACTCCATCCCAGGACCTTGGGATCATGACCTGAGCCAAAGGCAGTCGCTTAACCAACTGAGCAACCCAGGTGCCCCAACAGCTGACATAATTGATTGGTCCTTCCTTCTTGACAAATTTTCATTACTTTTTTAAAAATATTGTATTTATTTGTCAGAGAGA